CCCAAATCGCCAGAGAGTTAACATAAATAAACCAAACGGGAGAAACGCCAAAGCAAATAAAAGCAAAACACTCAAGCACAGGGTCTGCACCTTCCTGTCCCTCTCCCTCCCTCGCCTCCTCCGTCCATCTCCCTTCTACGGCGCGTGGAGAAGAGAAATGGAGAGGAGAACGGAGAAATATGGCCCGGTGCTGGGCAAGCAGTGTGGCCACGAGGGCTGGTGGCGGCACGCGGCCGGCCAGAAGGTGTTGCAGGAGGTGTTGGCGAGGGCGTGAGGTGGCCGCCGCGGCGCCTGTTGCCCCTGGAGGAGTGGGGATTTATGATGCCGTAAAGTCCGGTGCGAGGCGCTGGTGGCGGCGGTGCCTGGGTGGTCCGGCCGGCGCTGGTGGCGGCCGTGGCTTCTGGGGCGACAGTGGCAGCGGCGGCGACGGTGTGATGGTCGCCGCGCTAAGAGCCTCGTTTGCATACCGCGGAGGGGGCGTGGCTGGGCGGGCGGGGCGGGGCCTGGGGTGGGCGGCGGCCGCTCATTGGTCGAGGCGGCGGTAATTAGCAGCGGGGTCGGAGCGGGTCCGCCGCCTCCAGTCCGCCGCAGTTACTCGGAGCGGCCGCATGACAGTCCGCGCTCGGTGCTCGCTGAGGAACGTGTCTGGAAGACTGTAGAGTAGAGGTGTAGCGCTAGTGTGAAGTTACGTAGGAGTAGCGCGAGCAGTGGTCGGTCGTGTGGGAGAGCGAGGCGGCAGCTGTGTGCTCAGTGTTGGCTGAGGAGTTGTGTGGTGTCGCGGGGCGCGCTTCCCCCCTGCGCCTCTCATTTCCATATGGGCGCCCCCCCACGGGGAGGTGGCGGTGGTGGGCAGCCCGCGCATACTCGCCGCCACATTTACCTACTAATTCTCGCCGAGGCGTCATTACTATGTGCAGACGGTGGGTGGCGGCCGCGGAGGTGCCACGCCAGTGATACTTGTGCATGTGGAGTGGTGTGTTGCCGCACAGTGTGGTGCTGTGGCGCATGGTGCTAGTGACGGGCCAGGCACGTGCAGCCTACCCAGTGGCACGGCCGGGCACGGGGCGAGGCCACGCACATACCATCAGAACAAAGAGAGGACAAGACGCGAGTCAGGAACTTTGTGAGAGGGGCGTGCACTCACGTACCCAGCCCAGCCTCGGCTTGAGTATGAGGCACGGCCAGGCCAGGGACGATGTGGACCACAGGTAAGGCAGCCAGTGACACTTTGCACTTTGACTCAGTTAGGCACTTGTCAGCAGCGAGGGTGTATGTAGCAGTGTGTTTTGTGTGTGTACTCTAGTGCGGCGGTGGTGCGTGTCGAGACTGGCGAGGAGGGCGACCGCCAGTGGTGCCCAAGTGCCACATCCGGTGGCTCTTCGGCCTCCGTGTGCCGACTTCTGTGCGGAAGCGAAAATGTAAATTTTTGGGACTTGTGCAAATCTCGACTCAGTCCTCGCCGAGAGTCAGCTCAGTGATACGAATTTACATCGTCTGTCCCGTAAAAAAAATGCAAGTCTCAATATTTCCATGTTTTCTCTCGCTCTTTATTTTTCTCGCCGTTTGTCAAAATATATTTCACAAATAAGGACGAATTTCGGTGACCAACAACTTTATGATAATGAGGACCTGGGATGAATGTCAGTGTCCGGTTGTTGTGACACGGCGGTGATTAATTGTTCTTAATTTGTACATGTGGAAGTGCAATTTACATTAATGACACCGAGAAGATGACGATGGGTAGACAAACGCGATCTGCAAAATTACCAGCAAATAAATGGAGTTTTAGTCTTCATTTCACAGTAGTTCTGTCGCGCGCCACGTCGGACGGGAAAAAATGCAAAGTCCCCAAAATTGACGATCGGGTCGGGCCGCCGGTGCCAGCTCGCGAGGGACAACACGCCGCTTCGGGACAAATCCCCGCCTGATTTTTCCGCGAAGATGCTCGAGTGCGGCGTCGGAGAAAGGCACGAAAGTCTTGGTCAAAAGGGAGAACTCTCCTACACCGGAAACCGCGATAGGTTAGCCAGTCATCTCACAGCGCCAGTCTGCGGACTTCGCTTTTTGGCGCCCTGTATCCTTCGCTGGGTCAGGGAGGTTTCCCTCTCCTAATTCCGCTCTTGCTTTCTATTTTTTTTCTTTTATTTTGCTTCTAGTCCGGTATTCGTATTGGTTAATAAGCAGATTAGGAAGAAAAGAAAAAAAAAACATTTTATTTTTTTCATCACTTATTTCTTTGGCGTGTCGTCACCGAACTTGTCAATCTTCAAAGTCGATGTCGGATTTTTTGGGGACTTAGTTCAGAAATGATAGACACCTCTCCCCCCTACATCCTTCCCTCCCTCCTCCTCTCTCCTCTCTCTCTCTCTCCTCTATCCTCATGTAAACGGGTTAAGAGCGGGTCCACTCGGTAATTAGCTAATGGAGCTTACTGCAGACTACAGAAGAATTTCCTACTGGCCCGTTTCATTTTATGTAATGGAAAAGTTGTTGAGGAAAACATGCATTCATTTAATTAGGCGAATCTTCCCTCCCTCCTCCCCTTATTTTTTCACTTTTATGATAGCCGTTGGGGAGGAGCCATGGGGAAGTCTACTTGAGCTTGCTGGTAGATTTTTTTTCCTTTCATCACAAGGGAAAAAATGTTTTTTCGGGAAACGAAATAAGGCAAGATAAAGATGGCGTGAATATTTTTTCCCGTGGTGGAGAGGGAAAATAATGTAACGATAGTTCAGCTTATCGCGGAGTCGTTGGTTACTTAGGAGAGAGGGAGAATGAGAGGGAGGGAGAAGAAGGGTGGAGGTATGAAGGGGGAGAAGGGAGAATGGAAGAGGGAGAGGGAGGGAGGGATGAAGGGGGAGGGGAAGAAGGGTGGGAGGGAGGAATTGAGGGAAGAAGGAGGAAAGGGGAGGAGGGAGAGAGAGAGGAAGGGAGAGAAGTACGGATGGAGGGTGGGTGGGTGAAAGGGATGGAGAGAGGACAGGGAATAGGGACAGAGAGGAGAAGGAGAGAGAGGAGAGAGAGAAGAGAGAGAGAGAGAGAGAGAGAGAGAGAGAGAGAGAGAGAGAGAGAGAGAGAGAGAGAGAGAGAGAGAGCGTGAGAAAGAGCGTGAGAGAGAGCGTGAGTGCGTGAGAGAGAGAGACATAGAGACAGAGAGACAGAGAGAGAGAGACAGAGAGAGAGACAGAGAAAGAGAGAGAGAGAGAGAGAGAGAGAGAGAGAGAGAGAGAGAGAGAGAAGTTTGGAAAGAAAAATACCGAGATAGACAGAGACAGAGAAAGATACAGACAGACAAAAAGAGAGATACAAACGCAAATGAGAAATGATAAAAGAATCGACCTAATCAGAACGAAATGTACGAAAATCGACTTAATAAACAAAACCCGCCGTCGGGTATGGGTGAGGCGGGGGTTCGTTTCGCGGGAATCCTGGCGGTGCTTGAAGGAACGGCAGGAAAGACGGCGGCGGGAAAGGCCCCTTGGGAGCGTGAGATTCCTTCGGGTTAAACAGGCGTGTCTCTTGGATGATCATGAACAACGGTAATGCATAAGGATAGTCACTCACTAGTGATAATGATCATATTACACTTAAGATGGAAGGAACAAAATACTGAATGTAAGAATGGTGGTAATAATGATAATTATGAAAATTATAAAAACAACAATTATGATAATAATAATAATATAGACAATAAAGAGGGAGAAATGATGATATTGATGGTAACAGTACCAATGATTATGACTGATGATAATGAAAAACAATAATAATGAAATTAACAGCAATGGTAATAACAAAATAACAATTACAAAAACAGTAATATTTAAAAATACATATAGATAATAAATGATATAAATGATAATCAATCATTTTCTGGTGGGGGCACAGGGGTAACAACAATAAATCTGGGGGGACCGCCCAAAAGAAACAAAAATTAAGCCTACTTCAGTACTTAAATTGTATAGTTATACATTGTTTATGGTTTCATTTTGCTGTGTATTATATATTATTATATGTTAATATTTTATATTTGTATATAAATATTATGTAGTATTATATCTGTGCCACCATGGAAGACCCGCCTCTATTGTAGACGCACCTTTGGCCTAGATTCCTGAGAACGTGAATCTTCCGTCGATGCCCTGTGACGTCATACTACCGGCCCATGACGTCACCCTTTTTCCCTCACCTTTGGGCTTCAGTTGCATTTCTGGCTCGCTGGGCAGATCAACACAGCAAAGCGCAATATATTTGTAACTACGATGATGAAGTGAATGCATGGAACTCTAGAGGTTATGTGTGCGGAAATAATTTTCTTTGTCACCATAGAACGTACTTCCATTAATTGTGTCATTAATGCTAACATATCTTAATTTGGGCTAATACCCTGTGATTAATGCAAACATGTCATAACATGGTCGAGTTACCTATCTTTTTTTTTGGGGGGGAGGGGGAGTTGTGAACTTAATTTATAATGCTTTAGTCTCCAGAGACTCATCAGAACAAAAAGGTTAACAATTTGTCCATGCGAGACATAAGGGAGAAGCATCACAGCACTTCTTTTCGAAATGTTCGCTCATCAGACCCATTTTCCACCGAGATGACTGGAAATTACATATATCTAATGGCTCTGCTTTCAACCACATTGTCCCCCCTCCATACTTAACACCCCCACACACACTTCCCAAGAGTTAGTCTACAGCTCTTGCTTATGGAGTTCTAGTATATGGTTCTACATTTATTTGTAATTATTTCAGTGCTACTACTAGTAATTTATCTTGCTTATGGAGTTAAATATTATCTTTAAATAACTTGGTCTTTTAATATACCAAATACTGCACTCCAGTGGTGTTGATTTCAGTGCTCTAATCAGTGATACAGGACTAACTGCCCTAGATTTCCATATAACTAAAATATAAGAATTGTATATAATTAGAACCTATTATATCTATTTCGTGACCTAGGATTTGGGAAAGAAAAAAAAACATGAAACATCAAATCATTTATTCAAATAAACAAATAAATGAACATGTTCTAATGTTCACTATCTTGTACAAAGGCACCACATATTCATGGAAGCTAAAGCATAACAGTTATTCATAATAAAACAATTATATTTCATACCAGTATAAACAATTCAAAGGCAACTCTATCAGTGAATGTTGAGTAAAAATCTATTCACAAATATGTAAACATTATTGTGAATATTCACTGATTCAAATTATACCTTTTGCTTTATATCAAGCCAATAATTTAAATTTAAATTCTTTTACATTACAGTATTTAGTAACTTTTGCTATCATTACTCACAAATACATATGACAGAAAATCAAACAACCAATCATATATATATATATTCTGCTCTATTAATAAAATAATCCAAACATCCAAAAATGCACCAACCCTCAAAGATAATATTAACAATTAAAAAAGATATATTATTATGACTGTACAGGAATGTTTCGCATTTGTCGAACTGCAGCAATGAGACGTGGGTTATTTCCAGGAGCAATCTTCCAATACTGTTCCACTGGTGCTTTGAGAAGGAGGTTGAGCTTGTCTAGTGGATCACAAGAGGTGACGCCCAGGTCCTCCAAGATGTTGCAGATATAGTCTGAAGACAAGAGAAATTATAGTGATTATTAAGAACATAGGATCTGTGACCACAGCTGTAATATAAAATTGCTGTGCATGCTTTCAAAGTATTATAACAGAGGATGGCAGTATAACTGTGAGATATTCAATAATGGTATAATTATGTAGAGAGATGACAGCATGTTCTATTTTAGCATTTAGATTCTACAATGAAGAAATGTATGTTTCCAATAAATATACTGCAATCTCCTTTTTACATCTTCAAGTATATTTCATTGTCATGAAATACAAAAAAAAATCTAAAGCACGTATCAAGCATCAACTTACCAATATCTGTAGTGAGCTGTGTGATCATGGATGTAGTTATCTCTGGGATCTTCAGAATGGCATCTGTATAGAGCTTACAAGTGTTCTGTCCAACACTGTTGATGAGAAAATCAGCCGCACTCACCTCACTCTCACTTACAACCCTTCCGGATGGCCTGAAAAAATAGTGTAATAGTCTCAGAATGCAAGTCAATTTATTTTCACTTTCTCAGTCATGAGAAAATGTTTAATTCTTAAAAAAAAAAAAAAAAAATTACCTTCACATATAGTATGAAATTAATATATCCTATAAGTTTAAATCGCTTAACTCCAAGTTCATAAATTCACCCTCTTACCAGTGCTACATGTTGTATTAGCCTCCTGCAAAGCACGGTTCAGAGCTGGGCTATGATTCACCAGCAATGGCTCCAGATGCTGTGGTAGTGTCATCAGTACTATCTGTAGTGAATATATGATAACTTATTACTCTTACATTTTTCATAACCCATGCTTTCAAATATACATTTTCACTGATCCCTGTATTTCTATTCCAAAAGGAAAGAAAGGAAGAAGAAACTAACCTGTGTAACATACTCCTGTGGTGAAAAAGACAGTGAGAGATGTGATGTAGTTCCCTGACGTGAATTCCACGCCGGTAGGTCTGGCAAGGAGGCCAGCTGAGATGACACTGGGTTCATGATGGTATGGAGAGCCACCTCCACTGTACTCTGACACTGTGCCTGAGACTGTGTCATACTGTTCTCCAGGAGACCATCTTTCGTCTGAATTAGAACATAAGCTTTTTTATAACATTAGCAAGTGTTGGGCAGCCATCAGTGTTGTAATACAATCAAATGAGAAGATAATAAATCAAAACCCATACCATTAAAAATGGAAACAACTTACCAACAACCTTAACAACTAACTGCTTCAAGCTATCAACTCCTTGTTTCGAAAGTAGGAGATCTGGAGTTGCAGTAAAGGGTGTAGCAGGCTCCCACATAAACTTTGCTGCAGCATTAGTGAACATTGTGGCCAAGGAGTGTTCCATGTTATCAACCGCCATTACCAGCTCACCTTGGGACAGAGAATTATCTTTCCTTTTACTACACTTCATAAGATTATTGGATTAAAGCCTATGTAAAATATGATTAAAAATAACCAAACATTTATAATTAATACAATAAGATCTTAAGCTCTGTCTTCCTCTTATATATTACGCTATGCATAATATTTTTTAAAATTTGCATTTGTGTGACACAAACTGTGATTTTCATTATCTAAAAAACCATAAACTGCAATTAAAAATTATTCTTACCTGCCGCCTGTATAAGATTCAGACATGTTGTAAATACATTCCAGTCATCTTCTATGGAGGTTTTTTGTTTCTCTACATGCCTGACTGTTTGGGCTAATCGACTTGTAAACTGCTCAATGTAAGTTGCTAATGCAAAAACCAAGCTTGGGAAAGTCCATCCATTCGTCAGCTGTTTAGAAATTTTGAAGAGCTTTAACATATCTCTCTCAATATCAAAAATATGCATAATTGAAGTTCACAATTAATAATGCAGAATAATTATTCTTACATCACCTAACTCAACATTTATTCCAACTGGCTAGATTTTGGCAGTTTTGGATGTGTACACACCAGACTACAAACATGTGTCTGCTGCTACCTCAGCTTGACTTGAAAGTTTACTGCAATATTCCCTCAACCTTCGTAAGGTTTCCGCCATGTCATTCTTTACAATATCTGAAAGGATATATTAGACATATTAGTATAATCTTCATATGAATGGACTCAACCACAGTCACAAATGTCAGTAGTTCATGAGTAAAGCCACTGCTATGATGAAAATGTCCCCGCCATCAGCGTGTGCTTGTGCTTGTGCATTGGCGTGTGTGTGTATAATATATTATACATCTATTTTCAGTTTAACACTTGATTCCTCAGTACTGCAACACAGAACACTATTGTTAGGAGGGGTGTTGAAACATTCAATAACAAACAGATCCTCATGCTACAGAAGGGTTGGTATTTGGTGTTTGAATTCATAATGTCTTAAAGTCATCCTGGAATTTATATTGTTTCACTGTGAGATGATTTTATGCCCATTAAGCATGGAATATGCCTTGCAATATGCACATATGCACATAGGCCACAGGCATTCTGAGATAAGGCAAACTAATGTGACGAGAAAAGTTTCTCTTCTGAAGGCACCAACACTGTGAGATATGTATGGCGTCAACAAACATCAGGTAGGCAATGACACCACCCCCCTCTTATCACTTAACTGATTTGAACTAGAGAGAGTGATTGCGAGTAGGAAGAGTGGTTGAATCACCGCATGGTTGTTTGGGTGGATGTATGCAAGTGGTGTCAGTGAGTTGAAGAATGGTGGCCCTTCCGATTTACTGGAAGCAGATATGTAGAAATCTTTGAGGAGGTTTTCCTTTCAACATTTATGGCTATGGTGTTTCCTGAAACTGAGCCCTTCATCTTACTCGGGACAACAGCCACATCCACACCAACCTTGTTGTCAAGGATTGGTTACATGAACACCATAACATCACACTGCTGACACATCCATCTAGATCTCCAGATCTCAACCCAGGTGACAACATATGGGAAGTCATGTAAAAACGCATGCATCAAGACCACTCTTGCAATCGTGTTGTAGTCATAAATAATGCCTTGCAAGCATGGAAACATCTACGATGAGACGAAAAGCTGTGCCTCCACAGTTGCGTCTATGCCTCTACACTTGGAGTTTCGCCAGCAAAGGATGGAAGCGGAAAATATTGAACTTGAATACATTACCAGTATCTTATTTTTCTTGTTTTAATCATAATGGAATATGACAATATTCGTTAGATAATACAATAGCAATCAAGCCTGTGAGGAGCCAGAGGCGGGCTGCCATGGTGGCACCTGAAATCTGATTGGCCACCCCGTGTGCCCCCCCAATGGTCATTAACTCCTCGTAATGGCCCCCCTGTATATGTAATGGCAGCCCCCCCAGATTTATTGTTGTTGTGTGCCCCCACCAGAAAGTTTTCTGGACCCCGCCCCTGTGAGGAGCTTCTGTTATATATATAATACCGAACATTGTCTCCTCCCATATTTTACCAACTGACACAACATTTCAAAAAATATATTTAAGTAAGCTTATGGATTAGTAACAAAGTATTATACCATTTTAAGAATGATCTACAAATTCATAGCCTCTTAATTCGTGATCTGCCCATATACCTAAAAGTAGTTGGAAAATCAGGGATGCCAACAGTTTTTTGTAGTGTTAACAACTAGATTTCAAAAAGTATCATTGCTTGTGTCAGAATGTTTAGTATGATTTTCTAACAACATTTTTCTATGTAGCTGTACACTTTATCAGAAATTAGATACAACTTAATTTTCAGTATTTAAACGTAAAAAAGCACAATGCAGCAATGCACTCACTCTCTCTGAAAGCTACTGATTCTTTCAAATAAATGCCCATTTCTCAAACCAAATTTGTGTAATTTCTAGTTACTTATCTTTCCTCTCCACTAAGTTAGGATGGAAATTATGAAATAAGCACATCACTAACCAGCAGAGATGAGATGTGACAGTAGAAGAGCCTCTCTCATATTCTTGATATTTCAATACTTGTTCTTGTAATGGGCTGTAGATAGCCTGCACGACTGCCCTTTGAGACTGGTATAACACCTCTTGGCCTGTTGGGAACAAAAAAGTGATTTTTTTAAAACTTATGGATTTAAATTATTTTTCTGAGGTATGTACACATATTAAAAAAAAAACTATGTAGAAAACCAAAAACATATATATATATATATATATATATATATATATATATATATAGATAGAGAGAGAGAGAGAGAGAGAGAGAGAGAGAGAGAGAGAGAGAGAGAGAGAGAGAGAGAGAGAGAGAGAGAGAGAGAGAGAGAGAGAGAGAGAGAGAGAGAGAGAGAGAGAGAGAGATAATGTACATATAGGTTAAAACATTACATTGCCACATTTGTGCTCTAACCTGTTTTGCCATACCAACTGAAGATTCAAAATCTCTTAAAAATTGATCTCTGAACTTTTAAAGATATAAGAACCATGGTTTGCTGTTGGCTTGGTGAAATAACTTGGCTGATGGAGGATCAAGCGATGATAGGGTAGAAGCAGCCAGTTGAGAAAGCAAAAGATTGGCATCAGATCCTTCAAAGACTTGCCCACACCAACGCAACTGCAATCAAAGACATTTTCAGTCAGTTGGCTGTTAGTATAAGATTACTACTAATACACAGTACAGATTATTAAAGCTATTTCAAATTTACCTGGTTTGAAATAAGCAGAGAGAGTTTATCATAGAAGGAAGTCAGCCACAGTGCTGGGCCACTTAACTGGGACCCCTCAACTCCATTCCGCCAAGCAGTGCCCAGCTGACCAATCTCGCACTTGTGATAGTAACTTTCCAGCTGATCAACTCGCCCTAGTGATCGTAGAAGTCTTGCATATTTCACAGATTCATCTGAAATTCAAGCAGCATTTTGTATGAGCAAACTTTAAAAAATGAATGGTTACTAAATTGTCTCAACTGTAAAATAAACCTGAGAAACACATAATAAAGTAAACAGTTATTGCACAGAGAAAATATACATGTAATCTCATCTCTATCAGATCTGTGTACTGGTGAAGTTTTTTTTATAAGATTTAATAAAAAAAAAATAATAATAACCTGGAGAATATCTTCACCTACCTAGATTATGTTGTGTAAATGCAGCTACAATGTGTGGGCTGGCCAGCGCTTCCAGTCTGACCTTCAAACCTTCAAGGTGTGCCACGCGATCTTCATAGTCAGGCACATGGGTCAAAATCCCCAGGCAATTCTGGAGGGCTACTAACTTGCTGGCAATGGCATCAATATCTCCACTGTCCATTACCTGTTAATACAGATAATGTTACTGGTTTGTTACAAATTTAAATAAATCACATTTTAAAAATTTATATAAATCACATAAAAAAATCTGAAAAAAAGCTCTTAACAAATCCTATCCTTAGGAAAACTATCTTATCACAAAAACTTTGTTCTGTTTGCCCAACATCTATACAAATATCCTGCACAAGAATTCAAAGAACTTTAGAGAAAAGTCATAATCAAATTCTACTACTTAAGCAATCAGAATCCCTTTACCTCCTCAATATCCGTGGAAAGTGTGGTCCAATTATCAGCCTCACGGAGAGCCTGGGAGGAAGCCACTAATCTTCCCTTCAAGGAATCCAGCTTGACAAGGGTCTGCATGCTGGCAGCTGTGTTGCTCAACCTTGAATAATAACATGCATTTAATTTAAGAAAGCATAAGATTTAAAAAAATAAATATAACTGAGTGTAACACTCACACACTCACACACTCACTCACTACACTCACTCACTCATTCACTCACTCACTCACTCACTCACTCACTCACTCACTCACTCACTCACTCACTCACTCACTCACTCACTCACTCACTCACTCACACACTCACTTGTGCAGTATCAACAAAAAATACAATATATTACATCAGTCTATATTTACAAACATAATACATCACACTTTATTCATTACTAAAGCACAGATATGAAAAAGAACCCCACCTTTTCAATGTCTTGCCTCACACTCTTCATCTGGTTCTTGAGCACAGCCACCTCATGACCCAGAGATTCTATGTCTCTCAGTACCCTTGGCAGGCTGGCCATCACCTGAAATAATTATCACTTACTTTTACGAGGTATCATCTTTTCTCTGAATATAGATTGTGTATACAAATATTACTGCATCTACACCATACTGAGAATGACATGTTTTGCAACAAGATTATGTTCTATATATCAATGATACCTGTTGGCTGGTTTCCTCTAAAGCATTATTCACTTCTTGAATTGCAAGTTGAAGTCTTAGGACTTGAGATGATGCATAATGCTGTAAAATTAAATAAGAATAAGAGAGTATTTCAGGTCACTTTTTTTCAAAAACAAAATTAATTATTTACATTAATAGTATACTTATCTTTTCATTCATCATACACATTTCAAGCATTGTAACATGATATATAAGCTTTTTTTTCAGCTTCTCATTACTGAAAAAACTAGACACAAAGCCTATGTATAATTACTTAAAACAAACTTTCCTAGCAATCAATGTCCATAACTTTGTAAAACTGATAGTCACAACCAAATTGCAATACACCTGTAATAAATCAATAAAAAATGCAAAATCTATTCTACAAGAATATGCTTACATCTCTATTTTGATGCGCTTCTGGGCTTCGGAAGATATTGTTAATCCATTCCTTTGGCTCAAAGCTTTCTTGGGAAAACGTGGTAAGATCCTGCAAAATAAATATTGTTAATATACACCACTTAACTAGTAAAACCAATTATAAAAAGGCAAAGTAATGCATATGTTGCACTGTACAACTCATATACTCAAATAAGTTACACAGCTACATCAGTAGCTCATGCTTCCTGGATTTCTCTATAGCAACATTAGGCCAGTGAGTCAGTGACAAGTTCTGATAACATTAAGTATTGGAATATGACTTCTGCCTCTGAACCTCCCCCATATATAAA